TTGATGCTTGTTGAGGTTGCTTTAGGATAGCTGGAATTACTTGGATTTTCCTTTAAGGGGTGGGTCTTATTTTGTTTGCTTGAGGACAAGCAAAGGCTTAAGTTTGGGGGAGTTGATAAGTTAGGATTTTAACGTGTTTTATCCCCCTACTTGCCTATGCTTTGGTTATAAATTGCTATAAAATAGTCCCATAATGCTCACAAGTTGTACTTGATTGCAGGTTTGATCGACAAAGCGACGAATGTCAAAGATCGGCTCAAAAAGGAGTGAAACTTGCTCAAGTGTCAAAGACTAAGTAAGTTGAGGAAAAGAGAACCTAGTGCGGACCGCGCAAATGTGAATGCGGCCGCACTAGGAGATTCAGAGGATGGCAGTTTCAAGTGGGCAGGCTACGCGACCGCGGTTGGATTCTCACGGTCTGCGGAGCAGAGATTCAGAGAGCCATAATTTTGCCAATTCCAAGCAATGCGGCCCGCGTTCATTTCTGTGCGATCGCGCCAACTTCCACCGCGGCCGCGCTGCATTTCCACGCGGTCCGCGGTCCCCAGCTTCAGAGAAGCTGAAATCATGAGTCCAAGAGCCAGTGCGGTCGCTGTCCGCGCTCACCCCGCAGGGGTATTTTGTCCAGCTTTTCCAGCCCAGTATAAATAGGACCTTTTACCATTTTTAGGTTAAGTTTTATGTTCTGAAAGCAGCTGAGCTCGTGAGACCGGATATTGTAGCCATTTTTGGCACTTTTGCTCTTTATTATTGTAGTTTCTTCCTAGTAATTAATTAATATGCTTACTTCTTCATCTATTTCTTTAATTTCTGTACCTAGCATGAGTAGCTAAACCCATTAGCTAGGGTTGTGGCTCAACCCTAGTGTGGTAATTGATGGGTGTTGCCATCTAAGATTAGATTGATATTGGGTGTTTGTTATTTGGGTTAATTTTAGGTTTTAATTAAGGATTGGTGGTTGCAAACACTGATTCTAGCTTTGTGGGTCTAACTCTTCTTGAGAAAGAGAGTCCATGACCCCAAAATTGACCCAACAAGGAATTGGGATGGACTCATGAGAAATGATAGTCCCAATTAACGGGTTAAACCTCGAGAGAGTAAACACCCTACTTGAACCCTAGTTGCTTGATCTAATTGGCCTACCCAATTGGTCTCGAGCGAGTCAATTGGGCAAAATCACTCTCTCTACCGAGAGATGTGAGAGTGGGTACAATTGTGCAACGATTATAGCATAAGCCCCAAATATGTCAATCTATCTTTAGTAACATCTACCCGTCAATTAGCCACCTAGGTAATGCCATGACCCTAGTGCCTTTCTCTATAATAAATACAACTTAGCAATATTCTCGTAGCATAATTTAGTTTTAATCATTAGTTTTATAATAGTAGTTATAAGAATCAAAGAAAACCAAAAATATTTGAAGTGACATTAGAAGCACAACCGCATCTCTAGACTAGACAGATAATACAACTCCACTACTAGCTCCCTGTGGAAATTCGATCCCGAACCACTATTCGGGTAAAAGCTATTGCGACACGCTCTTCCTACCTTAGTGTAGCGTCGAGTCGGCAGCGATCATGTCCCTCCAGGCTTCCCAAAATATGCCATCTGCATCTTGTTGAGTTCAAACATTTTGCCCTAACCTTTTGTTGCTAATTAGGCCTCAACTTAATTTGAACTCTTGTTTGTACAGCATAATCTCGCAAAGCAGTTCTGAACTGTTTAACACTTTCAAAAACCATTTCTAACTAGAAACAAATTTTCTTGCAAGCAGGAACAAAGTATACCCTGCTGCTGTATCTTCTTGGTTGAGGGTTATGCACCCCATCTTCTTCAACTACTTCATCATCTGTATCCTCACTACCTGGATCTGAACTGTCCAGATATTGCTCATCCCCTCCCAACTTCCCAACATATTTGGAACCCATATCCTTATACATGTCTTCAAAACCATGGTCTATACCTACAGGTCCACTAGGTATCTCATCAGTATTAACTTCACTAGATCTTAATTTACTACTCTTTTCATTCACTTTAGCTTGTCTAGCAACAACAACTTCAGTATCTAGGTCTTGTCTCTCCAATAATATCCTCATCAGCACCATATAATGACTCGTATGTATCATCATCATCATCATTAGAAATAGCCTCATAATCACCATCCTCACTCTCAGTATTTCCCTCATCACCCTCATCACCCACAGCATCACCCTCAGAATTAGTTGCTAAATGAAAGTTGTAGAACTCACTTTCATCTTCATTAGACTATTCTGTATCCTCTTCTATATCAGCATCCCTCTCTTTACCCTTCCCATGAGTGTCATCATCCCTATTTATATCATTGTTAGGTGAGTGTGTTGCCCTAGCAATCTAGCATTAACATCACTTGCTTGCCCATGTGGCATTTCATTAAAGCCACATGGCTGAACATCAGTGGGGTTCACATTTATACCACCACTACTCAACATTTCATCTAGGTCCAAATCAACACATGGTGTATTAATTGTGTGACATGGATACACATTAATAAAATCCCTATCCTTAAGGTCTTTAACAAAGCTAACACATCAGCATCATATTTCACAAATCTAAATTCTCTTTTTTGGTTAATTTTACATACATATTTATCTACTGTTAAGTACCCCATATCCTTAGACCACTCATTATAACGAATTATATGCAATTCATCAATGTCAGCCTGAAGAACAACTGGCCAAATTTGCCATTTACATACCTCATAAATGGGTCGGCCACTAACCCCCATAGATGATGAAACTGTAATTTCATATAGACAGCCATTGAAACATATAAATAAAAGAGACCAAGTCAGATAGACTTTAACCCTAAAAAGCCATAAACTTTATCAAAGTGGGAGACAATAATATTTTGATATGCAAAAAATCCCTAATTTTTTTAACCCTAAATGCCAGATTAGTCATGAAAAAGACAAAATTCCTAAAGTTAAGTGAATATTCGACAACTTTCCCCAAAAATCCTAATATAAATCCCAAATAACAACAGACAATTTGTGCATGCAGACAAAAAATAACTTTGACTATCACACATTACCCACATTATTTCATAAGAAATTAGATGACAAAAGCGAAAACGACATCAAAAGAGACAAAATCCCTAAAGTAAAGTGAAGATTCTATTGTTTTCCCCAAAAAACCCTAATTTAAAATCCAAAATAACAAATACTTTGTGCATGCAGACAAAATATAGCTGACTATCGCAGAATATTTCATAAGAAAACATATGACAAGAGAAAACGACATCAAAGGAGACAAAATCCCTAAAGTAAAGTGAAGATTCTATTGTTTTCACCAAAAACACTAATTTAAAATCCAAAATAACAAATACTTTGTGCATGCAGACAAAATATAGCTGACTATCACAGAATATTTCATAAGAAAACATATGACAAGAGAAAACGACATCAAAGGAGACAAACTAACATTCATATCCTATAATATGACTGGAATCGAAAGCACAGACCAAACGAAGCTCGATCAGAACGAGATTAACAGATAATAAACTAAAACAATATAATGAATGAGTGATTATGATCGATTTTAGAAGGGGGTGACTGGTTTTTTCAGGCCATTACTAACCTAGATTTACAAGGGGAGGGTTTGGTTAGAGAGAGGTAAAATGAGTGTCGTTTGGTCGATCTATAGAATAAAAGAGAGGGTGACCCCGATCAGTTGGGTTTTGTTTTCGCGCCCTTGACGTGTAACAAATTCATTGGTCATTTACTGACTAGATGGACACGTCTGTATATGTGTAATACACGCGCGTAGGCTCAAGGGTCATATGTGTTTATTAGTTAAGGGAATCATGACTACAAGTGTTCAAATGGGAAAGTTTAAAGTTTATGTATCGGCATTTAAAAGCCCTACAAGTTTAAGTGGCCAGGAAGCCATTACTCCTTTTTAAACTTACCTAAATACATATTAGCAAAAAACTAAATGTTAACAGTTGGTGGATGACTGAAACTTGAAAGTGTAAATTATTGGATTGATGGATAGCTTTTTCAAGAATCAAGGAGCAGTAGAATTCAATGCTTTTGATACGTCACTAGTCACTAGTGAAAATTATCTCTGCATAAAAGCCATTAAATAAATAAAAAATTATTTATAGCTTCGCTGCCTGATGTTCTGGATGTGCCTTGTGTGATGTTCTATCAGTATATGGTGAGGATGAGAAATGATTCTGGGATCATTTAAGTGCAAAACTTTAAAACAATATTTACAGATCATTTAAAGAACAATTGTAGCAGGCAACTTGTTTTATTTTCCAAGTTAATAATTTCCCTTTCGGTAGATGGGTATTTGTATAGTTGCTTTTATTAAATGACATAATAGTAAATTAAACTCGTATAGATTTATTTACGCGAGTCTTCAGAGCATTCTTGACTTTTGTATGATGTGTCTTGTGTGAACCAACTCATTTTTGGTTCAGCTATTGATGATAGTTCGGAACTTAAATTGTATACTCAGGTGCAAGTTTCGTACTTACTGAACCTCCAGACAGCTAATGATAAGATGTTGATATTCCTAAATCAACACAGAGAGAATATTCTGTGGAGTGAACTCAACAATGCTCACACAGAGCTAGAAACCTGTACATTATAAAAAAATATCGCATCATGCAACTTTAATCACCAAACTTGGTCTTTTTAAGACTTCTTTCTTTTTTGTTTTAGAACAAGCATACAAGTATGGCAACGGAGAAATATCGAACAAGGACACCCATGACATAAATGGTTGTACCTCCCCCAAGTAGTCAAGTGTCCCCAATAGATCGCCCTTGGCGTTATAATGGATTCCCAGCATGAGTATCGAAGCTGGTTGAAGGACACATTCCCATTGGCCAGGGATGTACCTCCATTTGCAAAACAAAAGAGGCTAGATTTGCCAATTGGTAGGTATCATGAGAAATTGGCATAAGAAGACATCCCTAAAAAGAAACTAGGAATCACAACGCAAAAGGAATCTGCGCCACAAGAGTAAGCACCTCATTTTCCACAAGAAAAAACACCCAAGTTAACCACGAAAACCACATTCATGAATCCAGATACAACAAGTACCATAGTGGTTAAAGTAAAAAAGCTCATGTACATGACCACTTTTAGGACACAAACAGACAGTCTAATTCAAAAGGTTCACTATTTTTTATCAGGTTCACTATTTCAACCTTTATTTCTTTCCGCGAAGTTTCGCACCAAGAGCTCTCTCCAGTTTAGAGATTATCTGTTGGTTTGGAATTGCCTTTCCAGACTCGTACTCCTGAATGATTTGTGGTTTCTCGTTTATCAACTGCAAAACAAAGGGATTACCAAAATTATATTGATACAAGGAATAAAACCTCTCTCTTGACTCTATCTATATGTGGATTGCTTAAAAGAAAAGGAATTGGGGAGGGCGTGAGAGAGATAGAGAGAAATACTTGGGCAAGTTGAGACTGAGTCAACTTCTTATCTTGTCGTGCTTGCATAATGGCTTTCTTCAATTCAGTTGGTACCTTTTGATCTGAGAACAAAAATTAAAAGTACACCAGATGATTTCACCCAAAGAGAAAATCTTCTTTTTTCTTTTTTCCAGTGGCAAACCAGTTAAACTTTTCAACTTTAGCAATAGGTCGCCATTTGTTGCCAGAAGGAAAAACCTCTAAAAGGTGTCTTGTTTGAGTCCTAACAACTTTTATATTCACAAAGCAGACAATGTGCTTTGTGAAATTTGATACCGCACATCCATGCAGCAAATGAAGAAGGTAAAACAAAGTAAACAGTATACACATCAGAGAAATCAGGATGTAAGCATGACTTGAACTCACAAAGCAGAGAAGAGCTCTTTTTATTTATAACCGAGAAATCAGGAGGGCTAGTGTCGCACGGTTCGGAACTCGGTAGATAATGGGCCGGAGAATAGAAGAGCGTACTTGACAAGTTCTCGGTATCCTTATAACCACAGTAGTTGTTTTATAGAAGTGTTTCTAATATTAATTGATATTATAAAAGAAGTCAACTCAAACTTACGTGACAAGTTCTCGGTATCTTCATCAAGCTTCCTGGTGTTCAAAGTTGTGCTGCTAGATGCAGCCTTGTTTGACCCTGCAGTAGCTGCAGTCAAGGATAAATGTCCTGAGCGCTAAACACTCTGGCATTTCACAACTAAAGGATCCATTTCAGCAAAATAAATCCAGACCAACTATGAAGTCTTGCACACACAGTCCAGCAATTGGCATAAAACAGAGAATATATGTGAATGTGTGTATATAAAATAAGACAAAAAGGTTCATGAAATAGCACAGACTGGTATTAACGTGAATACAGAGATATCATTCTATTTAAAAGTAGGTGCCTTCCAACATAAATGAGTCATTAGCTTCCCGACCCTGACTAGCCAACTTGAGTTATCAAGAGAAATCGACATGCAATGACGAAGCGAGAAGGAAATTGATATCACTCGGGAGTCCTTACCAATATCAAAATTCAGATTAGGAGTCTCTCTTGGCAAACAACATAGAAAAGAAAAATTCATATGAACTAACACTTAGCCACAGTCTTTCCTAATGTTAAAATAGAGAAGAAATAAAGGAGAATTTGACTGAATTGGTTGTAGACAATATACATGATGGATCCTTATATAGGATTTCAGGCTACTAAAAACAGGCAAGTCTGGACTACCCGAAACAAAGAACTTATCAAACGAGGAAACTTACCTAACATTGAAATTTCTAATTGTCTTGTGGGATTACACTGTGTTTGTCGTTGTTGTGTGAAATTTCTAATTGTGACAAAAAATATTAACCTACACACAGAATGAATCTAGAAGACATCACTAATTAATTCATTTTCTTTATAATGGCGGTGTCTCCAGCTTGTGTGCACCATGACTATTCTAGCGAGTACTGCTACTTCCTACCGGCATAGGTACCGAGTAACTTTGTCAGCCAAGACTTAAGCAGATAATTGATTCTCTTACACCTATTTAAAAAAGAATTCTTCTTCAAATAATATGGAAATCATTCCACTTACAACAGGGAGTACAAAAAGAGGCTATAGATAAAGGGGTACATCTAGAAATGGGCTATGATAATCTGACCGAGAAAACAAAATGATAGCCCTAATTGGTCCCAAAGAAAAATTAGGAATAATTAATCGGAAAAAAGGAACAATAAGGCTAAGATGGGGAGATTATACGAACCTTTTCTGACGGTTTCGATCTCAGCACCGGCGCGGCGGGCGGCGTTGACTGCTTTCTCGTCCTTTCTTGCGGCGGCGGTCGGCGCTTTTTTGCGAATCACCACCGGCTCCCAATCTTGTGATATTCCAGCCATCTTTTCTTCTTTGAAAAATATCTCCTCTAGCACTCCTGGTTTCTTCTTTTTACCCACATAAATAAATTTATCTGCTTTCAAATTAGAAAATTTTTCATAAAACACTATCTTTTAGTGCTAATTAGTTATTTATAGATACCATTTGCTATATTACGGATTGTAAATAGGTTTTCTGTTGTTATAAGATGTATTAGATGAATACAGTAGCAAAAATAGGCGTAAATCAGGTAAGTCTAGCTAATGAGTTGTTGTATTCGAGTGTATTCGACTGTATTCATGGCGTGAAACATCGGATTACAGCTGGACAGATTATTGTATTCGACTGTATTCACGGCGTGAAACAGGAAAGTGAATCAATTAACATAATAGACTCCTAATATAACTCAACAAACTCAATTATAATACATAAATTTTGTATTTTCAGTTATAAAAAAGATTCTCAACCGAAAAATACCCCAAAAACATAGCAATCTTCAGAGAAATTATATAATACATCTGAATACATAAATTATATTAATTAAAAAAAATATATGAATACATTCATGGCATATAGCGAGATAGTGAATACAATGAAAACATAGAATACAGCGGGATACATTGAAATATAATGAAAAGAAAACAGTGAATACAATGAAATACATGGAATACAGCGAGATACATTGAATTACAATCAAAAAAAAGACAATGAATACAATGAAATACATAAAAATACAGCATAATACGTTGAAATTCATTGAAATATATTAACAAAAATCTTCTTCTTCATCGCGATTAATTGAATACCAGGGTTTCTAATTTGATTGAAAAGTTACGGATTACGCCGTTAACACAGGGAAAGGTTTCAATGGATTCCCATTGATGACACCATTGAAAGGGTTATTGGGAATCTTTTTTATGCTTACTTGAAACCCTATTTCCTTGAAGCATATCGACCAGTGAGGAAGGGTGATCTATTTCTCTTAAGAGGAGGAATGCGAAGTGTAGAGTTCAAGGTTACTTCCATCAAACGATTCTCTAATTCCAGGAACACAACTAGGTCTTACCACCAAGGAAGAGTTAAGGTTTCTCGTTGGATTGAGATTGAGCATCATGTTTTCAAGGAATGGGGAAGAGAATGTCATGTATCAAAGTAGAGAGAGAAAGAAAATAGTGTAACTGAATAGCGTATTTAGTGGCTTAGGGGTAGGAGGTAACAAAAATTAAATATTTTGCTATAAACATTAAAAGGTATTTATAGAATATAATTTTTTTTAAATGATATTTATTTAAAATAAATAAGGTGTTAACCTTTGCTATAGGACGTAAAAATTCCTTCAAATAATAAATAAATTTATAAAAAGTTCAGCTTGATGTTTATATATTAGCTTAACTCTCTTATTTGATTTTTTTTTTTAGCATAACTTGTTTGAAAGGATAAATTTGTAACATTCAAAATTACCCTTCGTAGTCTAATTGAGGCTGCCCTCAATTAATTTTTATCTTTTTAATATTTTCTTTTTAAGCGAATTTTGAATCATTCAGGTATTTATCTTAATTGACCTTTTATGCTCAGTTACTTTTTAGATTATAAACCTGATACATATATCATGGACAATCTCTTTTAAAAATTAAGAAAAGAAGCGTATGAAAATAGATTGGCCTTTTCTGTGTGGATTCCATTTAAAGTAAATCAATACATAATTACAAAATTTGATTGAATTAGTAAGAGGTTTTGGATTTGAGTTCTAGCAATGTAATCACATTTGGTCGTGAGTTTCACCCCAAAGTGAATAATCCGGTGCAAATGTGGATTAATCGAAACCAAAAGCTAATACCAAATATTAGTGGGACCAAAAAAAATTATTATACAAAACTTTATACATTATTTAGGAAACGACCAAAAGCTATGTATACGTACATAATAACTTTAAAAGTAAAAATATTGACTTTATTTGAAAATATTCAGAGAGATACTCGACTACTAGTCATTTATAAAAATATGACAAGTTTTCTTTTGCAAATTTTTATTGTAAAAAAAAAAAAATTCTCTCCAGGTATTTTCGATGTAACGATTAGACCGATTGTTTTGAGTTCTAGAATTCAATTCCCCTATTTGAGACTTCCCGCAGGTTGATTTGATCATTTATGACTTTTGGGGATGGATAGTTCGGTTTTTGAGAAGTTCGGGAGTGATTTGAACACTTAGTTCCTAAATTGAGGCTTAAAGTTGAAAGAGTTGATACAGTGTTTTAAAAGGCATTTTCGGGACAAGCCGCACCATAAACGCCCCGAGGCGATGGTGTGGGGCGAAAGCCCCAAGAGGCGTACACCCAGCAATTCGTGGCATACGAGACGTTTGAGGTGCGTTTTTTTAGTGAGGCGCAAGCCCCAGAGATTCTTTCAAATTAAAACAAAATCTGTTGAATAAGTCATTCATATAATACCCAAATTCTCAAAAGCCAGCTTGGTAATTACTCAAAAATTTTAAAAAAGAAATGAAATGTATTAAACTTAAAAGTCAAGACCTTTTTTATTAATTGAAGCCCTAATTCATGGTCTTTCCAAATTCTTTATCTTATCCGCTAATTTGCTAATATCTCCAAAAAGTAACGAATATTCAATTTATTTATTTTTACAAATATAAAGAGAACTACATTCTCCTTCATAGAAGCAGGTTTAAAGTTCAAATTGAAGGTTAGTCATCATTTTTGTTTCTCCATGTAGAAAACTTTATTCTTTTAAACTCAAGTTACTTGTGCTATATGTTTCTATTGGTGGTACTAATATTGTCTCTTTTCGTCTTCTTGAGCCGAGGGTCTTTCAAAAACAGTCTCTCTACTTCTTCGGTGTAGGGGTAAGGTTCACACACTACCCTCCCCAGAGCCCACCGGTGGGATTCTGCGTAACAACAACAACAACAACAACGACCCAGTATAATTCCACTAGAGGGGTCTGGGGAGGGTAGTGTGTACCAAACCTTACCCCTACCCTACCCTCGGCATCTCTCCCTCTAAGAATTCCCCACCTTACTCTTGGGGTGACTCGAACTCACAACCTCTTGGTTGGAAGTGGAGGGACCACTAGAGCAACCCACTCTTGTCCAGTGCTCTATATATATAT